CATCCATCCATCATCCATCCATCATCCATCCATCATCCATCATCCATCCATCATCCATCCATCATCCATCCATCCATCCGTCATCCATCCGTCATCCATCCGTCATCCATCCGTCATCCATCATCCATCCGTCATCCATCCGTCATCCATCCGTCATCCATCATCCATCCATCCATCCATCATCCATCCATCATCCATCCATCATCCATCCATCATCCATCCATCATCCATCCATCCATCCATCATCCATCATCATCATCCATCCATCCATCATCCATCCGTCCATCATCCATCCATCATCCATCCATCATCCATCATCCATCCATCCATCCATCATCCATCCATCCATCATCCATCCGTCCATCCATCATCCATCATCCATCCATCATCCATCCATCATCCATCCATCCATCATCCATCCATCATCCATCCATCATCCATCCATCATCCATCCATCATCCATCCATCATCCATCCATCCATCATCCATCATCCATCCATCATCCATCCATCATCCATCCATCCATCATCCATCCATCATCCATCCATCATCCATCCATCATCCATCCATCATCCATCATCCATCATCCATCCATCATCCATCCATCATCCATCCATGGATCCATGTCTCCATCCCCCTGTCCCATTCACCCACCGCCTCCTCCGCCTGTCTCTTGTAGGCCTTGACTTTCATCTGCAGTTTGTCCACCAGGTCCTGCAGCCTCAGCAGGTTCTTCTTGTCCTCCTCCGTCTATGGGAACAAGGATGGGGTGGCCACCAGACCAAAGCACAACCACAACTCTTGGGCCTCAGTTTCCCTTCCCAGAGACTTCCTGTGTCCTCCTGGCCACCAGGCTGATGTTCTGGGTCACCCACATCACTTTCATCAGCCAATTAATGTTCTGGGTCATCTTTGCTCCTGTGGCCACCCAGTCACCATTCTGGGTCACCCATGTCCCTGGGGCCACCATCTCTGCCCCTTGGTGGTCCCACAAATGGGTGCTCACACCTGGTACCTGAATCTCACCTCCATGGTCCCACCCCCATGGTCCCACCTGGAACCTGAGTCCCACCTCCATGGTCCCACCTCCATGGTCCCACCTCCATGGTCCCACTCCCATGTTCTCACCTGGTAGCTGAGCTCCTTGACCCATCTCCATGTTCTCACCTCCATGGTCTCACCTCCATGGTCCTACCTCCATGGTCCCACCTGGTACCTGAGTCCCACCTCCATGGTCCCACCTCCATGGTCCCACCTCCATTGTCTCACCTCCATGGTCCCACCTCCATGTTCTCACCTGGTAGCTGAGCTCCTTGACCCACCTCCATGGTCCCACCCCCATTGTCTCACCTCCATGGTCCCACCTCCATGGTCCCACCTCCATGGTCCCACCCCGATTGTCTCACCTCCATGGTCCCACCTCCATGGTCTCACCTGGTAGCTGAGCTCCTTGACCCACCTCCATGGTCTCACCTGGTAGCTGAGCTCCTTGACGCGCCTCTCGGACTTGCGCAGCCCCTTGACGCTCTCGGCGTTTCTCTTCTGCTCGGTCTCCAGCTCGTTCTCCAGCTCCTTCACGCGTCCCTCCAGCTTCTGCAGCTGCTTCTTGCCCCCCTTGAGGGCCAACTGCTCGGCCTCGTCCAACCTCAGCTGCAGGTCCTTGATGGTCTGCTCCATGTTCTTCTTCATCCTCTCCAGGTGCGCGCTCGTGTCCTGCTCCTTCTTCAGCTCCTCCGCCATCATGGCTGCCTGCCCGTGGTGGGACAACCGGGAGGTCCACGGCGTGTCCTCCACCGTGGTGGCCCCGGTGACGACCCTGCCGCAACACTCACGTCGGTGATGGCCTTCTTGGCCTTCTCCTCGGCGTTCCGGCACTCCTGGACGGCCTCCTCCACCTCTGTCTGCAGCTGGGAGATGTCACCTTCCATCTTCTTCTTCTGGTTGATGAGGCTGGTGTTCTGGGGAGGGTGGGGAGACACCTCAGGAGGTGATCCTGGGGCTGCTGTCCCACCCCTCGGTGCCTCCAGCTCTTGGAGACTCCCCTGTAGCTCTGCAGGGTCAAGGATCTTCTGGGGATCTTGGTGATGTAAGGTGGAAGGGAACCCAACGTTCCTTGGACCACCCCAACCCTCTTTGGACCAACCCAAGGTTCCTTGGACCAACCCAACCTTCTTTGGACCAACCCAATGTTCCTTGGACCAACCCAATGTTCCTTAGACCAACCCAATGTTCCTTAGACCAACCCAAGGTTCCTTGGACCAACCTGAGGTTCCTTGGATCAACCCAACCTTCCTTGGACCAACCAAAGGTTCTTTGGACCAACCTGAGGTTCCTTGGACCAACCCAACCTTCCTTGGACCAACCCAACCTTCCTTGGACCACCCCAACCTTTCTTGGACCAACTCAAGTTTCCTCAGACCTTCTGGAGAAGGTGGCACTGTTTGGTCCAGGTCAACTTGTAGCCATCTTGGGGCTCTCCAGTTCAGCAAGACTTGGTCTTCGTCAACCAGACCTTCCATGGACCAACTCAACCCTCCTTGGACCTTCTTTGGACCAACCCAAGGTTCTTTGGACCAACCCAAGGTTCTTTGGACCAACCCAAGGTTCTTTGGACCAACCCAACGTTCCTTGGACCAACCCAACGTTCCTTGGACCAACCCAAGGTTCCTTAAACCAACCTGAGGTTCCTTGGACCAACCTGAGGTTCCTCAGACCTTCTGGAGAAGGTGGCACTGTTTGGTCCAGGTCAACTTGGAGCCATCTTGGGGCTCTCCAGTTCAGCAAGACTTGGTCCAGGTCAACCAGACCTTCCATGGACCAACTCAACCCTCCTTGGACCTTCTTTGGACCAACCAAAGGTTCTTTGGACCAACCCAAGGTTCTTTGGACCAACCCAAGGTTCTTTGGACCAACCCAACGTTCCTTGGACCAACCCAACGTTCCTTGGACCAACACAATGTTCCTTGGACCAACCCAACCTTTCTTGGACCACCCCAACCTTTCTTGGACCAACTCAAGGTTCCTCAGACCTTCTGGAGAAGGTGGCACTGTTTGGTCCAGGTCAACTTGGAGCCATCTTGGGGCTCTCCAGTTCAGCAAGACTTGGTCTTTGTCAACCAGGCTTTCCATGGACCAACTCAACCCTCCTTGGACCTTCTTTGGACCAACCCAAGGTTCCTTGGACCAACCCAAGGTTCTTTGGACCAACCCAAGGTTCTTTGGACCAACCCAACCTTCCTTGGACCAACCCAACCTTCTCTTGGACCACCCCAACCTTTCTTGGACCAACTCAAGGTTCCTCAGACCTTCTGGAGAAGGTGGCACTGTTTGGTCCAGGTCAACTTGGAGCCATCTTGGGGCTCTCCAGTTCAGCAAGACTTGGTCTTTGTCAACCAGACCTTCCATGGACCAACTCAACCCTCCTTGGACCTTCTTTGGACCAACCCAAGGTTCTTTGGACCAACCCAAGGTTCTTTGGACCAACTCAACATTCCTTGGTCCAACCTAACCTTCCTTGGACCAACCCAACCTTCCTTGGACCACCCCAACCTTCCTTGGACCACCCCAACCTTCCTTGGACCAACTCAAGGTTCCTCAGACCTTCTGGAGAAGGTGGCACTGTTTGGTCCAGGTCAACTTGGAGCCATCTTGGGGCTCTCCAGTTCAGCAAGACTTGGTCTTCGTCAACCAGACCTTCCATGGACCAACTCAACCCTCCTTGGACCTTCTTTGGACCAACCCAAGGTTCTTTGGACCAACCCAACCTCCTCCAGACCTTCAGGAGAAGATTGACCTGTCAGGTCCACACCACCCTGAGCCACTTGGAGGTCCTCAAGCGAGCAATCGGAGCTGTTTCTCCTGGGTTGGAGCATCCCTGGATGGAGGTGGACCCTCTCGTGGTCACCTGTGGTGGTCTCACCTGTGAGTGGAGAAGCTGGACCCTCTCGCTGGCCTCGATCAGCTCCTGCTCGGCCAATTTCCGGGCCCTCTCGGTCTGTTCCACCAGGCCCCGGAGCTCCTCCAGCTCTGACTGCAGCAGGGTGTTCCTGCGTTCCACCATGGCCACGTTCTCCTTCAGGTCCTCCCCGACCCTCGCCGCGTCATCCAGCTGAAGCTGTGTGTCCTGGGGGTGGTGGGAAGGGGTGGTGGGTCCATCTGGACCTCGGGGTGGGAAGGGATGGTGGGTCCACCCAACCTTGGTGTGGGGAGGGA